ATATGACTGCGTGTACCACCGGTGGTACACATGGCACGGAACGTGTTAACTGTTTTTCATCCCCTTCTCGAAATTCTCTTCTCCTCCTACTTTCCCGAAACGACCAGACAGACAGAACTTCTTCCTGAACGTCCGATTTCAATTATAGTGATTCACGTGGCACCGCTGCGCAACGTATTATACCCTGTAAATTAAATACGTGCCGTGGGAAAACGAGAGTTTCGCAACAAGTTGTTACACAATCGCAGAACGCGATGCTAAACGCACGGCGATTCTAAATGGAATTAAGTCGGTCGATGGTTCATAAACCATCCGGCGAAATTAAAGCGTCTACTGTGTTCTAATTGTCGTTCCGCCATCCGTTTCATTCATCCATTCAACTCGTGTGTTTTCGTTTCTTCCATCCGTTATTACACAATGGGTCGCGATATTTTATTTTCATCTTTCTTTCTTCACGGACTTGAACCGTGTGTCTCTGGCACACCTTCGTTCGTTCTTCGATTCTTCTCGATTCCTCCGGATTTTATAGAGATTCTTTCATTTAAATTTAAGATTAAGTTAATTTTAAATTAAGGGTTAATTAACATCAACGCTGCGACAATAAAAATCGCACGTAGAGACTGATCTTCCAGTTGTATATCTCACTTGACGAATATCTCTTCAAATAGTTCTCTTTCTCAAATGAAATATATTTTATCTACCGAGTCGTTCGTTCTTCGAACGGGCGCGCGCGTTGAAACAATTAAAACAGAGATGATCAACGTTGTGAAATGAATTACGACCTGAATTACAAAATTTAAGTTTCCCTCCAATTTAGAAATGTAAAAACCATCATGGAAGTAATATTCGGGGCAACGACATTGAGTTAAAGCGAAATTAAACGCGACAGAGTAAGTCTCTAATTTCGAACAATATCAGCCGAAACGAAATAACTTCTCGAAGCAAAGTATTTTCTACAATATCGAGTTTAAGCTCCGTCCACACAGAAATAAACACAGTGGGAAAATCGCGTAGAAAAGGAGAGCGGGGGGGGGGGAGAGAAAAAGAAACGAGGAGAGAAAAAAGTGGAAAAAAGGAACGAATCGTATCGAACCGGTCCCAACGTCGACACGCGAGAACCCGTAAACAGGTTGTAAAGGAGTCCTGTACCGTTTTCGGGACCAATAAGAACGAGCTGTACAGGACGGTGCAAAAGTTTCGGAGCAATTAACTCCTTGGGTGCCATCTTGGGGGGATGGAAAGGATAATCGAAAAGACAGTGACCGCTTGCTGCGTAAGTTTGTTTTGTTCCTTGTATCAATTTAACACGTTTTCTTTTTCTTTTTTTTTTAACCAAAAATTCTATCATTTATCGAAAGT